ACCCCCGGATCATTTCGGTTGCCAATGTACTTCCTGGCTTTCTCCCCGTGGCAGCCAAGGTAGATCACCATGGGGATGAAAACACAATGAGCAGCAGAAATCATAAGGGAGGCCTGCTATTCATTGCTTGGCAATCGGCGATGGAGATTCAACAGACTCCTCTTCCCGCCATCTTTTGATGGATAGTCAAGGCTGTTATTCAGCTGCTTGGGAATGGACAGGACCCTAAAAGCTCCTGTATAAATGGCCATGGGTCCTCTGGAGAGCAATACTCTTCCACAGAGATTCTCACCTCCAGAAAAACAAACAAACAAACAATTTCACTTGCTAAAAATCTCCCTGTGCTGGAGCTTTGCAGGCTGAGAAGAGCCAATGTTGCCAGTCAAGATGCTTCCCCCACCTTCCCAGGAGTCAACAGTGCTGTTCCTCCATGTGTGAAATTGTTTATGAAAAGCAAGTGCTATGAGAGACAGTGAGATGTTTTCTGATATGCACAAATCTCCTTCTTTTCCCGTTCTTTTTGCACCACTTCGGTTGAACGGTGCAGAGAGACAGCTGCTGCCTGTTTCAGTGCCCGACTGGAGCGGTCCCGCGGCTTCTTTCTCTTCCAGAGAGGACTTTTCCCAGCCACAAAGGACCATTCTTCAGTCACTCCTTCTGTGGTGCTAGAGACAGAAACTCCACTTGGTAACTTCATCGTCCGACATAAAACAGCACGGCCCACTGGGAGGTTAAGCGGCAATGCTAGGATCAGGCCTCCTATGGTGGCCGGGAGTGTCCAACGCTCCTTGTTTCAGCAAGCTGGCGGAGGACCGTCCTTCGATCCAAAAGTGTCCTCTACTGGATCGGCTGTCAGGAGCAAGTCTGGATCAAAACCAAAGAACTGTAAGAAGTGGCTGGTGTGTCCAGGACGGAGCGTGCGACTCCAAGTCTGTTCATCTTTTATGTATCACAAGGCTCTTTGCTGCTTGGGGTGCAACGGACTCACGCGGCTACTCCTTCGTGAAAATCCTACGCAGACTGGCTTCCCTAGGCCCAAGGAAACTGGTGGGACGTGCCTGGTGAACGTGCAAGGGGCGTGCGCCGCATGAGGCCCGGAGGTGGAGAAGGCCAGGTGCGTCCCTGCACCTTCCAGAGCCTGGGAAATCCAGGTGGCAGCCTCCTGCACCCACGGAGGGGAATTTTCCAATGGCCTGGAAGCATTTTGGTTCAAGACGCTTTGGAATGAGCCAGAGACGCCCTCCTGTCTGTCCCCTGCTATGCTGCCCTTCGTGGCACCCAGATCTGGCAACCAGAGATCTGCATCGCATCTCGCTATACGGTGGGGGTATTTCAGGCAACCTCAGCCTTAGGATGGTCATCCCCTCCCCGTCTCTCACAAGCTGAGCAGTCTCCCCATCCAGACTATTATTATTATTATTATTATTATTATTATTATTATTATAGCATTTCTATGCCGCCCCTTGCCGAAACCTCGGGGCGGCTTACAACATGATAAAATACATTGAAATACAATAGTACATAATAAATTACCATTAAATATAAAAATACAAAAAAATACATTGATTTACAAATACAAAATTAAAATTATCAGTATAAAATAAAAATATAGGAGGAGAAAGAAAAGGAAGAAGAAGTTGCCCAGGCCAGATCATATGTTTTAACCATTGAAATGATGTTTAAATAAAAAGGTCTTTACCTGGCGCCGAAAAACCAGTAACGACGGTGCCAGGCGGACCTCTTTGGGGAGTGAATTCCATAGGTTGGGCGCCACCGCAGAGAAAGCCCTCCTCCGGGTACTTACTCTCCCGGACTTTTGAATTTTGTCTCATTCCGTGCACCAACTAAATTCCCCCCTCAGTATATCCACCAAGGCCAAATAATTGCTGCTCAAATTTCATTTTGCAAGCTCCGTCCCTTAAGCTGGTATAGACAACCTGGTATCCTTTAGAACAACCTTCCGCAACTGTGTGCCTTCCACCCCCGTTTGGACTGCAACACCCAGAATTCCCCGGCAACGGCCCTGCTGGATGGGAATCCTGGGAGTTGCGGCCCAAGTGCCTCTGAAGACCACCAGATGCTTCTCCTAAGCAGGTTGGGCTGCAACTCTGAAAAGTCCCAGCCATTGGCTCATATGAGCTGGTGCTGATGGGGCTTGTAGGAGGGGATACAGAGTCTTATTTTCTGCCCTCAATTCCTCTTTGGGGAAACTGGCTCCTAAAGGACTACATATGTATGTACAGTGAGCCATACCAGATACAGGCTAGTATAGCGGCATACAAATCAAAATAATAAACAAGCAAATAAATAAATAAGCGCAGTAGTTGACTGACCACTGGAAGAAACAAAAGACACACACATTTTATTAAACCTGTTCTCTCTGTATTTCAGATTGTCAAGCATCTTTCTTGCTGTCATCCTCCTGTTGACACAGTTATATTTTTTTTAACCAGAATTTTACTCTACTTGAACCAATTTGCAAGTGGATGCTAATAGGAACATGCACTTTCACAAATCAGCGTCATTCAGGGCAACTTAGCACAATTCTCTCCCAAAAGTGAAAAGCTGGTCTGAAATTCTGCGGAATCTGACTGACCCGGGAAAACTGGACCACTGCAGAATCCACAGGTAAAATCCACAGAAATCTAAACCCTTTTGAATCTGCTAGATATTTCTCTGACTTCCCCAGAAGAAACAGTTTGGGAAAAAATATGTGATAAAATATCTGGGGAAGTACAGCACTCTGAAACCTCATCCAACCACCCTGTTCTTGGTGCTGGATACACGCTCAGCACCCATCCGGAGTTTCATAACGAAGCAAATGGCCAAAGCGCCGACTGAGATTTCAACTCACTGAACTATGAATTCTGCTTGAGCAACAGTGATCTGGCCTGAACAAGGAGGAGAACTTGAAAGGATAAAGGCAAATATTTTCTTTCGCTACATAGACATGGGAGTTCAAATGTGATTGCAGTTTCTTTTAGTGTCCTTCTTTCTCTTGTGCTCATCAGGGAGGGCGCTGTGAGCCTTTTCATTTTGTTAACGAAATAATATTTATCTCTGGTACATCTGGGCAAAATGGCAGCAAGAGGTTCAGTTCCAAGAATCCGTGTCTGTAAACATCAGCACAAATGCTTGCTGTCTGACTTATCCATGAGGACGGAGACGCAGAACCTCAGAGGACTCATGGTACTTTCCCCCAACCGGCCGGATTTTTTGGGACTTCTGGCCCTGTCTCTTTGTGCACCCCCCACCCCACCCACCCAGCCACTGGAAGACCACACAGAGGGTGTCTCTGAAATGGAATATGGCCCTTGGGCAGAATCGGGTTCACACTTAATAGATGTGCAGAAAGTCGGAGAACAAGAGTATCACAGCCTTTTCTTCCTCCATGTTAGTCAGCAAGATGGATTCTCACCATGTCGCAGAACAAAACCATCTACGGTGATGGTTAGGACATCCTCACCACCGTCCCTCAGATTCCTATCCTGCCTTCTTTCCTCTTGCAAGGAACCCATGGTGACCCTCAAGGAATGGGTCTCCACAGGATGTGGATGCAGAAGTAAGCTTTGCACGTGTGTTCCCAGCAACTAGAATTGGGAGGAACAGTGTTTTTTTTGTAAGAAAAATGGTGCCGGAACTCATGAAATTATTTACCTTTTGCACGTAGTCAATCACTGTACACACCCCCACATACGTCAGTTGCGTAACGAAACGTAACGGTTGCCACCTGCAGTAAGCACTCAGCGCGCGACCACACGACCAATCGCAAGCCGAGCAGCACCCTCACAACCAGCGCGGACGAAGTACGCATGCAGTGGACTCGACACACAAGCAGCCCGCACGCACCGTTTTAATGATTTTGCCGCCGACCTGCTACGCTCGACAGGGCGATTCAAATCCGCGTGGACCAAACATCAAATTTTCAAAAGTTACTTGGAAAATCTGTCAAAACAAGGTGTCGGAACTCTGTTCTGGTGCGTTCTATGACACAAAAAGCACTGGGGAGGAATATGGCCTTTCATACAGATAGTCATCGTGAAAGCAGTGGGACCAGCTGCCTGGGGAGGTGGGGGGCTCTCCCACACCGGAGGCATTCAAGAAGAAACTGGGCAGCCACCTGGTGTGACTTGGTGTCCTGCAACAGCAGGGGGTGGACTGGATGGCCTTCATGGCCCCTTCCAACTCGACTCTTCCACGATTCTATGCTTCTATGTGACTAGCAGCCATGGTCTGCCTTCTCCATGAATTTGTGAAATCCCCGCTTAAAGCCCTCCGCCAGTCACGGGGATGGGGATTATGGGGTCACGAGTCCAATACACCTGGAGATCTGGTTTGGGAGGCTGCCCTGACCCTCCCACCCCACCTGCTCTCCAGATGCTTCCATTCGTGTATTGTCCCCGAAGGTATCACAAACCCCAAACAAAGCACAGGCGCCTCTGCAGCTCGGCTTTATCGTTCCTCATCCCGCTGCTTGTGGCAACGAGCCCGAGCTGCCCTCGCAGGGAAGATCTTGGGAAGCCAGTCTCGGGAGGCTTGCGTGCGGCAGAGGGACTACAAAGCTCGGGCCGGGCCGCCTGGCGCAAACCGATCCCGTCGGCAGCTCTTCTCCGCATGTAAGCAGCATCCTTGCAATATATTCTGGTCTTGCCAACCACACACACACAGAGCCGCTTCTTATCTTGTTATCGAAGCATCCAAAGCGTCCTATCTGAAGCGCCATGACAGCCCCGGCCTCCCCCTCTCCCCCAGTTTCAAAGAGAAGCAAAAAGCTGCTGCACTTTGAACAAAAGGGCCCCAAACAAAAGCAGAGGCGAAGCTGGTGGCCGATCAGATAAGGCCGTGGGGACCGCTGGGCGGCGGTGGGCACGCTGCCTATCCAGAGCTGGCAGGAGCGGATCCTGCTGTAAATCTACATCCATGCAGGGAGCTGCTATTTCCCATCTTGTGATGGCTATTTATAGGTCTGAGCTAGGAAGGAAGAGAAAACAAAACACGGCGACACAGAGACAGCGGCTCGCAGCAGAACGGATCGCTCACACGAGAGCCGTGTGGTTAGCGGGGCCATCTGACAGACAGGCGTCTTCTCCGTTTTTCATTTCGTCCCATCTCGCCCTCCAGGTAGGGAAAAGCTCTCCTCTCTGATCAGTGGCTGATGGAAGAAGAGAACTTTCCCCTGCCCACCTTCCATTCCCATCAGCTGCACCAGTGCAGTGGAGGGGCCCCAGTTTTCAGCCTCATTGTGGTGTCAACTGGTTTGCCCAACAGGCTGTGTGGGAATGAAGTTGATCTTCCCGGCCATCCTGCACTGAAAAGCTAAAGGGATGGGATGCTCAGAAAGCTGCATCTACGGGTACATTGATGGGATGGGACTGTAGATCAGCAGTTGTTGTTAGTCGCAAAGTCGTGTCTGACCCATCGCAACCCCATGGGCAACATTCCTCCAGGCCCTCCTGTCTTCCACTGTCCCTCGGAGTCCACTCAAGCTCACACCGACTGCTTCAGTGACTCCATCCAGCCACCTCATCCTCTGCCGCCCCCTCCTTCTTTTGCCATCTATTGTTCCCAGCATTAGGCTCTTCTCCTGGGAGTCCTTCCTTCTCATTAGGTGGCCAAAGTATTTGAGCTTCATCTTCACGATCTGGCCTTCTAAAGAGCAGTAGCTTTTATGAATTATGAGCCATTCACGGATCCTCCAACCTGCTCAGCAGTTTCCTTTGCTCTCTTGAGCACTTCCATGGGTTTTTACTCCCGGGAAAGTAGTTTAGGTTGATTTTTTTTTTTTAGGTTGAAATTTTTTATTTAAATAAAAACATACTAGGACTGCAGCCCTAGCACAACAATTGTTGCAAACAGAAAAAAGGAAAGAAACTGGCAAAATTAAAATAGAATAAAGTCCACTTGGTGTTGTTAGGTCTACAGGACTTCGTCAAGTGGTAAGAAATTCCAGGGCTGTAAGCTTTCCCAGGAATGATTCCATTTGGAAAGAAGTCACTGGTTTGTGGGGAATGTAGGAACTTGTAGGGCTGGTTTTTTTGAGGGGGGCGGGGTTGGTTACCTAAAATACTTCAAAAGGCTCAAGAGAACCAAACATATCTTCATCAGGCAGGCCAGATGCCAGGAAAGACTCTCTGATGACAAGCTTCTTGTCCACATTGCTAAGGACTAGCAGCTTTTCTTTGTTTTTGTTTTTTAATGACATCTAAGATGCTCTGGCGCTTTCAGGCCAGCTTTCCATGTCTGTGCTTCTGCACCACTTGTCTGTGAATATGCAGGCCTCACATACAAACAAACAAACCGACACAGGGATCTTGCAAGGGTACCAAAAGAACCGTGCTCTCTTACTGAGTAATTTCTCCTTCGGGGCAGCTGCACAAATTTGACATATTTTCTGACTATCCATATTATTGAAGGTTGTTTACAGCTCTGAGCCAAGGAAACGTGCTGCCACCCACAAGACCAAACAATCTGAGAAGCGATTGTTTTGATGGCTGCAGAAAAGGGAAGGGAAGGGAAGGGAAGGGAAGG